ACCAGGAAGATAAGCCTTTTGTTTCTTAGCGTCACACTTTTTTGACACTGGACCATTGATGTTAGTCTGTGACGGTTTGTGTCTGAAATATGCAATTCATTTTGCCATGGACTTGTTGAACATCTTACCAACTTCTTTCTTACAACTAATCTGAAGAGTTAAGGGTTTTCAAGAAAAGCATCACACAAACTTTCCATTGAAATTTTTTAAAATATTGTTTCTTGGCTAATTACTCTTTAGCATTGCTTTGATCATGAATTTATTTGACCAAAGCACTACATTTAAAGTGACCCATTTCAATCTATTTGATCTCTGACGCTGAAAATCATCAAAAGTAATGCATTTTGGTATAATTTTTATATCGTTCAGCTTTACCAAATCAATACAGAAATGTTTATGACATGTACATTCAGACTGTACTCTTTTGGCATTAGTGTGAATATTGGCAAAATAGTTTTTGCAGAGGAAAATGTTTTCACAGCTAAAATGTCAGTCAGTATAATTATTTTCTGCATCCATTATCTATTCCCAGGAGATGTGCTTTGCAAGACCTTTAACATTTTTGCGATGCACTATTTAGTCAAAGCACAGTGCCTGATTTAGCATTGCCTAAGATAATGTGGTATTGAGCAATGTATGTTTACATTTCATCTCTTAGGAAGAAAATAAGTTCAGACAGTTCCGAAGGGCTAAGTAATAAATCAGATTTTTTTAATATAAGATATTGTCCTGTGCTTCGTGAGCGGCTTGTTAAGGGTTTTTAGGGTAAAAGGACATGCACATTTGGTAATGAACCAATACATTTTAAATGTTACCAAAATATTACATTCTGAACATCATGCATAATTGCTGTTTTTATATTTATTCAAAATTTATAACAACTTGCATTTGCCTTTAACATAACCGAATCTCAAAACGCTTGACTTATGCACTAAATATTTGACAGCGTTAGCTGACACTCAGTGGGCCTTGACACCCAGCGGTACTATGAGCCAAGTTGTCTGTGTCTGACTTGAGTTCGTATCGATGCATGTGGTAGGTCGTTGGAAATAAGCTGGTGTCTGCAGTTGTATGGCAGTAATTACTTTATTGATAGCATAGTGGGAAAATGGACAGAAAGTGAGAACGATTAAATGGATTGGCTAAAAAAATAGGAAGGATGTGTTTTGGCTGGTGGGGAAAAATTCCCAGAAGAGGTTATAAACGCTGTTAAATTAAAAGAAGGAAACTTCATTTTCTCTGAATTGCTTTAAAAATAGTCTGTCTTTAGTACATATTCATTAGTTAAGAACCCCTTGGTGAGAAGTTAGTTTAATTAACTTTGCATCCCATTGCATTCCACACCAGTGTCAACATAATCCATTTATTTTAAGAGACTCAAGGATTTGGTATGTAAGGGATCTGAGGAAGGAATAAACTCTTACTGTGTCAAAGATAATCCATCATGAAAGTCCAGATTTTGAATTCTAGATTTTGAATAATTATTTTGTTGTTTTGGATAGATTTCTGGTTTCAAACCAGAATTATTTTTGTTGTAATAGTTTTAAACATCAAATGCCACAAACAAGGTGTCAGATCTTGTGTTCTATTTGCTTCACGACCTTTTTTCATTTGAGAAATAAAACAAGCTAATTATTTGCCATTTATTTGGAACACTGATAAATCTTCATAGTTCCAGAGCTAGATGTTGGATCAAATATTCTCCATGATTGCAAATAGCCGTTATCATCAGAATATTTTTATATTTTTAGCTTCTAAATGAACCTTTCGGGGGAGGGAATAAGATGTAATTATTCTATCTTAAATGCATTCAGTCGACGAAACAAAGTCGTATCTGTAGAATTGTTTCAATGAAAGTGTTGTTTACATTGATTAAAAGATGAAATATAATTTATAATATTGAGCATCTTTATCCTTTTGAGCTTGCTATCAATGCTCTGGAAGATGAGCTGTTTTATATATGGAGCTTAATAGAAAGTACCGTTTTTCGACTTCTAAGTATCATTCACATAATCTAATAAAATGGCTGAACAGGCTTGCTTGATTGCCCAAATGGCCTATATTCCTCTTCCTATAATAGAAAGCAGGCTTAGAAACCTAAGTTACTATTTGGATTAAAGTTGTGGCTTGTGGGCGATGATGATGGAAAAGAAATTGCAATAGTGAAGTCATTTTCTGTCACACAGGTGAGAGCTGAACGAAAGACCGAGATGTGGACGAGGGCATAAAGGAACTTCAACATCCTACTTTGTTTTGGCCTTAATTCTAAGAGTAGATTGTTCTGGGAAAAGTTATAATGTGATCAGAAGTAAATGGTGTTTCTGAGAAGCTGCCAAAAGTCACATTAGAATTCCTGCAATGCAGTATTTGCTTACTTTCATTGTACTTTTTATGTACGAACTGAACAGAGATATTTTATTAATCCAGTTGAAGTGGTAGGATTTATTGTGCTGTCTGCCTAAAAGCACCAAATGCCACCTCACTAACTTTAAAAAACGCCTCACTAAATGTTATCAAATTCTAATATGCGACTTCCATCAAACCCTTAGGTCCTTTCAAAAATGAGCATGTTGGGAAACATCTACATTTCTCAGTCAAATCCTTGCCCGGCACTGTAATTTATCACCATTCTTTAGAAGCAGATTTTATCAAAAAATTCACCAATCTTCATTAGTGACAGTCTGTCATACTTCTAGATGCTATACTTTTCCACAATGTGAGGCTCACAGTTCTATCAGCATGAATCATTGTGTTTTCTGCATGCTTTGCTCATTTGAAGTCTAATGCTCTTTGTTATCAGTCATGGCATTATATTGGTTATATAGTCTAAGCTGTGCCTGAAAATCTATGAAGACGACCGCCCAAGAGGAGGTGTTGACGTGTGCCTGTGTGAATTGAGGAGGGCTTTTCCTTGTTTATTATGCATCTGTGGTTGAACGGATGAAGTGAATGCAAAGTATCTAGGGCAGAATTTTACACGTTTAACCATAAATTTGGTAACTGCTTGCAGTACTCCAATTTCAAACTGGTCTAGGCATGACATTTTATGCCATAATTTTATGCCAAAGTCATTTTATTCTTTTATGAGCAAGAAAAAGCCTATACATTCACACCACCAGTCAAATTGGATTTAAGAAATAACTTTTATACTGACCTACCACTGTAGACTTGTGAATTTTTACTTCAGTGAGTTTTTTCCAAATTCAATTTCATATTTTATTCAGATTATTGATTTGTGCCAACTCCTGGCTTCAAAATCTTTGTCTACTATAGAAATGCTTATCTGTAATTGCTTATGGTCAGCGCCTCTGGCAGATTATCACAACTTTGTTCTACAAATGCTGTCAGAAAGAAATTACTTTGGATGAAAGTTCTAATTTTGTGTAAACTGACTAAAATAGTGATTCTCTTCATATTGGCCACAAGATTTAAGACAGTTAGGACCAAAAACCATTGTATTTACACAGGGAAAAAAAGTGAGCAAAAGAAAGGCACTGAGGGGTAGATGATAAATTGGTTGAAATTCTGTCACTGTGAGTCAATCTTAATAAAAGTGGCAAAGATGACTCTCTGTACTCAATTACAGAGATCTGAATGTCATAAGGAAGGAAATTGTCTTCGATCTGATTTTAAGTTCTGCTAATCAATCCCGACTGTATTAATTCGCACTTTGAAGCAACTCTTTATCTTGCAGAGTTTCATCTCTGCTCTTGCCTTGCTCCTTGGGGTCTGTATTGGGAGACTTCTGAACAGATGCTTCTCTGTTTTTGGAGGGCATAAGGTTGGAATTATCAAAGTCGACTTCTGATGTAGTTTTAGTGAAGTGCTGGAACTCCACGGCAGCTTGATTCCCTGAGGCAGGAGGCAAACCCAAGGCCAATCCCATCTGGGATATCAGCAGCTTCAGGGGATCACCAGTAATTCTAGGCTATGAGTCTGAATCAGAATTCTTTAGTGTTGGCAAATGTGGTATAAGATGGAAACATCTTTACATAGGCACCCAGAAGTCTGGAAGTCGAGTTTACTAAGGCAGAAGGAGTTAGTCTAAACTTGAAAGAGAGTGCAACTGTTCAATATCAGTTAAATCACAATTCTAGGCATCTGAAAAAGAAGAGTGAAACTGTACCAGGTGGTGTTGAATTTCATGTCCAGTTTAATAATCTTCTTCCTGATGTGCTCAGAGTAGCAGATCTCATTCCCCTCAAAAAAGATGGAAGAGATTCCACTGTTAGTTGGCTGATTCCTGCAATCAGCTGTAACCCAATTTGGAAACTGGTTCTAAAGCACTTCCCAGATCTTCCAATGACTCAAAACCCAAAGTGCTAATGTTTTAAACCCATAAGAACGGTATAGATGGTAATTGACGTTTGGTGGGAGGACAAGACTGCATGTCTTATTGAAACTGCGGGATTTAATTGCAGCTTACTACTTAATTATCAATTTATTTTTGCTGTTTGGTCAAAATTTTGTTTGATGTATATTCATATAGTTGTATGTTAGAATCTTCTAGACATCTGTGACGGCTAGTAAACCTCAGCAAAGTGAAGGCAAAATGTCAATTGATAACTTTATCATGTTGTCCGTAACTTTGTTGAAACCCCCCACTTTAATTGCTTTTTTTGCCAACTTCATAGGTGATTTCCCTGTTCCACACACATTCCCCATTGTGAGTAGGTGGGCATGTGACCAGTTTGCAAACCTGCACCACTGACATTTTGAACAGACTGCAAGTGCGTATACACAGTTAGCTTGATACATTTAATTTTCTTGTCTCTTTGTTCCCTCAAGCAGTCCCAGTGTTGTGTGCTTGGAATGTCTCCAATGGCATTAGTTGAAAATGGGAATTCACTGGAATGGGGAATCGTTGCCAAACTGCTTCCTGTCCTTCACTTGGAAGGCACGTTGGAGTGCTGGAGCGTTGCATCGCTGCCTGAGGTCTCGGGCTTTAGGGAAAAACAATTGGAGTTTAAACATTAATTTATTCAACACTTTCACAACAGATCGAAATCGAGACATCGCCAGCGCTCCTACAGTCGAAGCAGTGAACGCTCCAGCCGTAGAAGAAGTTACACAAGAAGCCGATCTCGTGAAAGAGAAAGACGTAAGGGTAGAGATAAAGGAAGAGAAAGGGATCGGGAGAAAGAAAAGGAAAGAGACTCGAGAAGCGATAAGAAAGGGTAAGCAATAATTGGATTGGTATATTATGGTTTATGCGTGCAGACTGTTGTCAAATCTGTTAAATTGGGGTGTCTCTTAAGCACGAAGACTTGTGTAAGTAGTACCCACATGCTTGCTTCTGTCTGCAACTAGTATCTTTGAAACTGATTAAAGATATTGGTGCTGGTTATAATGCTGGATTCTACAATTTGTGTGGTCTGTGGAGCAGTGATGTATACACCAGTGAGTGCCACACATGGCAGTTAATGAGGATATTTGTCATGTGCTCCACTTACTGCACTCAAAGACCACAGTTTGCGACTTTGACCTCACTTCCCTCGCAGCTGGAGGTTGCCCTTACTGCTCCTAAATGAGGTTTGGCTGAAGAATAAAACACCCAATAATTGTATCACCCAGTATCAGAAGAATAGCGCTGATCACTGATCTCAGTTTTAACACACATAAGTCCACCTCCAATAAATAATTACCTTCAAGATGATCACAATAAATAAGCTCCTCTCTTTAACAAAAGAAAAATTACCATTTTAGCATCACTTAGTTTATTTCTGTCCACTGAATTTCACAAGTGCCTTTGTTAGCATGTTTGACATCAACATTAGTATACCTGACTTCTTTCTACAAGTTACCAAACTTCACTGTTTAATTGAGCAGGATTAAGCTATACTGTTAAAGATGAAGCCGCAATTCATTAATGATTGTATCTCCTCTATTAAAAACTCAGCTCCCGAACATTGTACCTCTTCCAAACGATGAGCATTTAAAAATATTCGTAGTACTCACAGATTTAAATGGCCTATTATAATAATTCTAGATAAATCATTTGTAAAAAAAAGTCTGATTGTGGCTGAAGCGCCTCAAAATTCAACAAATAATGTATCAATACAATACAGACTGGAGAAACAATTTTTTGTGTTCCTGGCTTGAGAATTCAGATCTCACATAGTAGGATATTTTTGATAAGCTGTTGTATGTAGTAGGTAAACTCTTGATCCTTGCACCTGCATACAACTGGCACATTTCATTACGACTTCTAATTGATGCATTTGATCCCACATTATATTGTATGGTATATATTGTGAGAATGTCCCTCGTGATGACACTATTGCACTGATAATTCGGTTTCATTTATTGTTGAGGGTCAGACTGGGTTGTACAGTACGTTGTGGACCAATTCATTGTTTGATTCGATTTGAATGTATTAGAGCCATATGTGAATGCATTCCAAATTTTGTTTGGGTCAGATGGAGTTAGTAGTGAACAAAGGCAAGCACCTTTTGGTGGGAGGTAAGCAGGGTCTCTTTGGAGCTGAACTGGCTCCAGGGTGTCATGCTTGGCATTGAAATGTCAGAATTGAACCAACCCAACCCTCTGTGGCTGTCTCGGTAGTCCAGTTCCTGTACAAGCAATGGGAAAGCTTGCAAAGCAGTGATTTCAATGGTAAACTATGCGGATTTAGCTGGTTAGACTCCAGCAATACCCCGTGGAATTACTCTGTGGTTCACAAGCCTTGGCTCTTGCCAACCTGCACCTAATATTCTGGAATTAGGTAAACAGGATGTGTCCCTCCAGGGAGAGAGTGTGCCTCCATTCCAACAAATATCTCTAGAGTTTCCATGTGTAGATGGGATGCATGGAACTTTCAGTTTGATTTGGATAATCTTAAACATTGTGATATTTATATAATTCCAATTCTCTGATGAATTTAGCATCAACAGCCATTTGTGGTAAGGTATCCAATATTACAACAACCTGATGGAAACAAATTTCTTCCAATCTTCTGTTGACAATCCTCAAATAAACTACACTGTAAACACTGCCAGTGCTTATCTGTCTTGTGCATCCTTTAAGATCAGTTGACAACATTTTGAATAAAAAGAAGTTAATCCAAACTATATGAAGAGCTGATAATTTCAGATAGGTTCATTTGATGGGCAGATAGGATTTGATGCCATATTGGTTTTAAAGTTAATTTGGTAACATTGACATGTTCATATAAATCATTGCCATTGATTTCTAGATTTGCGGAGCCTGCAATGCTTTACTTTTCCAATACATTTCTGTCCATGTATATGTATCTATTACTGAAATGGATGAAGATTGACAAAAAAAAATCCATTTAGATTTTAGGAGATGCAGTGGAATCTTGGTTACCCGCCATAATTGAAGAGGCCTTGAAATTGGCAGATAATCAAGGTTCATTTTATATTTTAAAAAAACATGTTGAAAAAGATGGAGCATTAATAGCAGTTTTTGATGCTCTAATTAAGATTTGGGTAAAGGCCTGGTGTGTAAAGCTGCTGGATTTAAGTTATGACAGGATTTTAAATAAAGTACTTTTAGACAACTCTCAGCTCAGGTTCTGCTCGCCACACCCGATGCAGCTCCAGAGATGTCACGTTGGGGAGATTAGGAGACGAGGCGATGAGAGCAAAGCCAACACGAAGATGGAACATTATGACTTTGCTTAGTAATAAGGAGTGACCTCTAATAGTATCATCAGTACAGTTGGTTATGAGGGCCAATGTTGACTATTGCCAGATTTATTTTATTGTTTATTCTTTTTAAAATCTGGAGACATATCCCCGACAAGATTACTTTCATAACTTCCACTGTACATCATTTGAAAAACATTATTCATGAATCTTTGTATTTCTCTGCATGTGTAATGATCTCCATCTGCCATTTTGCACTATTTTCAATTAGATGATTTGGTCTCAGGGGCTGGGAATACACTATTCCTAACAGTATATAAATTGTATTATCAAAGCTCCCTTAATCAGATTTTTATTAAAAAAAGCATTTTAGTTAGGAATGAACACGCTTTAAAAAGTACATGAAAATACGGCATTCACAGTGACTTCTGAATTAAGGCATATAAGTGACTTGTCACAAAGAGTTGTTCTTCAATGTATAAATTACATTGGCAATTTTGTGTGGTTACTCAGGTTAGCAAACCTTGATAACATTCTTTATTGATTTGTATTGTTGACACCTAAAAGAAAAAAGATGCTCAGAAACATGACATGTCCTTGTAACATCTCTCAACCTGAGAACTATTAAAATACGATTCAAAGCATATGGTGAAGCCTTGTTAGTTTATGAAGAAGACATAATGGTATTGTAGATCAGAACGTTTAATTGTAATGTTTAGCGGTTCTTAAATGCAATCGCGGAGCATAGGGCTGTCATTTTGTGACTAATGCGTGCTTTTATGCTATGTTAATTTTCTTGTGGAATTTTTTTTCCAAATATTTTGACGGGGTGAAAAAATAATCTAGGAGTTTTTCAGTTTGGCAGCACACTCGTACTCTTCTAACCTGTCATTTCTTTAGTACTCTTTCTTTCTCTCTCTCTCTTCCCCCCCCCCCCCCCCCCCCCACCTGCTGCATGCTGCAGGAAGTCATTATGCTAATATTACTTAATTAGCATACAGGTTACAGAGTTCTGCTGTACGAAGCATGCATGGATCTCCTTTTAAGTGTCTGTTTAGATCAAAGCAGGCTTGTGTGATTGCTGTTGTCTGACACCAAGCTGTGTGGTGTTGTTTTCATTAAACATTTATCACACCTCCAGTGTGACAGCAGGCAACTTTGTGCTTGAGTAACGTGTTTTCATGCAAAATTTATTGAAAAAGACGAGACATTGTAAAGAGATCTTGTTGCCTTTCACCAGTGGCAAAGGGTAAATGGTTGATTGGAAAGAAGGAAGTCTGCCTTTGACATGGTGCTATAGTTTCATTTGACATTGTCACATGGGAAACGGTTGAAGTGTTAAACAGCACGTTTACTTTTAGTATATAGGCATGTCCAATAAATTGTTTTGCATTGACACCTACTTCAAAAGAATAGGAATCAGATCTTCAGGTCCACTTTGTACTCTGTGTGGTTGGATACTTGGTGCAGAAATAGTGCATGTTCATTACTTTTGTTTATTGTGTCTCAAAAGCCCTCGTAAATTTCCATGGTTTTTTTGTACTATTTTTAGTATGGCAATTCTCAAGATGAACAGTTAGCTCCAATGGATGAACTTGGACAGGTGAAGTTTGATGCACCTTCTGTGCTGTAATTTCTCTGTATCTTTGTGGAAAGGACCATTTGACGAAGTCAGGTCACCACTTAGGGGCATCACTGTACCGGGAGACTTGAAGCAGATCAAAAGCTGACAAGTTGTATCAGATTTCCATTTACACTATACCCAAACTATTTTTTCATATCTATCGAGCTTGCTTCAGCTTGTAAAAACTAATTTGTCACGCGTGCAGCAAAAATAAAGAATGACCAATCTGTTTTGTTTTAATAAATAAAATGGACTTGTAAATGGATGTGCAGACAGATTGTATGGCTCTTTCTTCAGCAGTGCCCAGCTGAAGTTGCACCAGAGGATTTGACAACAGAGAAGCATTTTGCAATCGATTGGGTGACAAGCTAGTGGGAGACATTAAGGTTCAAGTGTATAAACCTCTCTTCATAGCTTAAAACTCTGGAGTCCTGTAGCTCAGTGGTTAGAGCACTCGCTTTGCAAGCGAGAGACCGGAGTTCAATTCCAGGCAGAGGGCGAAACCTTGGGCAAGTTTCCTTACTCCACACAGAGCCTAATAATAATCCCTCCAAAAACAATAATAAATTGGTCATTTTCAATCTGCGACTGTTTGTGGGACATTGCTGTGCGCAATTGGCTGCCGCGTTCGCCCAAAAAAATACAGTCAATTCACTTTACAGTGTGTTCTGTGAAGCGCTTTGGGACGTCCTCCCGACGTGAAAAGTGCTATATCAAATGCAAGGATTATTATTATTATTATTAAGTTCGAGATTCTCCCTTTCGTAGCTCGTCACAAGAGAGGTTCAGGTGAAGAAAGCCCTTCAGCTCATTTGATATTCTCGTTCCAATGTGCCCATCCTACCGTTTCACCATCACAGCGTTGAGCGATATCATAAGTGTGCGCAGACTTGTCTTGTCCTGCTGATTTGCTGTTGGCCTTAAATATTTTCTAATGTGTTAG